GTTTTTTGCCCCTTAACTGTGTGGCCTTGAGTAAGTTGCTTGACATCTCTGTATCTATTTCCTCATCTGTAAAATGGGATTAATAATAATACATCATGAGACAGTTGAGATTAAGTGAATAATAAATGATTTTAAAATACTTTATAACCATAGGGACACCTGGGTGGCTCAGTCAGTTGAGCCTCCAATTCTTGATCTTGGCTCAGGTCTTGATCTCAGGGTCATGAGTTCAAGCCCTGCATTAAGTAAATAAATAAAAATAAAATGCTTAAAACCATGCTGAGTTTTAGAAAGTGCACATAAGTGTACAATGGCAGCTAGCTACCACACTTCATTACCATGAATAACTACAAACCTTAAATGAATACTCACTACATACCACTCTGGTAAGCACTTGACATACAACATCTCATGTAATCCCGGGGAATTGAAATTGAGAGAGGCAGAGGTGGATTTTCCTTGAAACTGATGACGCTAAGCTTCAAGGTCCCTCATTTAACAGATCCCTGTGAGAGCTAGGGGTGGCTGGGAGTCGTAGAGTGTTCCAGGTGGGAAAGAGAAGGCAGGCTGCAATTAGAAGCACTTCTCTTAAGTAATTCTGGCAATTGCCTAAGGAGATGTCAGAAAAGAGGAATCTGCGTATCAAGGCTCCAGTAATTTGTTATAATCTTTATTATCCTAAATACTCACTTTGGGATCTAATTATGTGGGGTCTTTTCTTTATGAGGGTCCTTAAGTTTAACCCACAACTGTCTCTTACCAGAAGAAGTGCATACGGTTTTACTTTTAACCTCTAAACTTTACTGTGTCCTTGCTGGATTTATTTAAGCTTGTCAAACTCATTTTACAGAGATAGAAAGCATCCTCAAATTGAAAGGCCCCATGGTAGCAGGGGATTATACTGTCTTGCTGATTGCATTTAGCAAGGCATAAGGGTTCAGTAAAGTCTTAATAGACTTCATCAATATAAGTTTTAGAAGTCTTGCAAGTAACCTTCCTTTTATGGTGAGTACTGGTTTGACGTCTCTTTCATAATCCCTGAATCTCCTAGAAAAAGGGTAAATTGGCAATATATTTTTGTGGTCTATTATATTTGAACCTTTGATTTGCAATTGTGATTTCAACATAATTTTTCTTTTGCAGACCATAACTGCTAAAGCAAAACAAAACCCAAAGATAAATAGCTTTCATAGGTTTTTGCCACGCTAGATTTTTCAAAGCAAGGAATGAAATGTCGAAACGTCCACTCAGTGGTTCCTTGTCCTTAAAAATCCTGGGGAGAATCAGATCATCTGAAATAGAAACTCTGCTATTTTTATACGCAATTGCAAATCGGGACGTTGCCAGGCTTTCGTCTCAGCAACGAGTCTTCCTAGGAACTGGATCTAGAATTTATTTGTACTTTACACTTTGGGGAAAGGTACATTTTGAGTCCTTTCAGTTTTTGGTGTTCCCTTTCCCTGAAGAACCTTTGAAATTACTTTTTAAATTTTTTGGTCTCCTCCACCTAGAAAGAGAAGGTGGCAGAAAGACGAAGCTGGTGAGACCCTCACTCATTTGGGCACCACTAGTATTAACCGAATGGATAATGAAACACGTTGGCTAGTGAACAATGCCATGTTATTTTTGTTTGTAATTCAAATCAATGACTAGGCACTCCCAATAAAAGGGGACTGGGTGCAACCACTTTGAGTCTAACTCAAAATCCATGTCCCGGGGCAGGAGAAAATGCCAACATCAAAAATTAGGCATCAACTTTTCAAATTACCATACGGTTGCTTAATGCAGGACTCCAGGAACATTGTGCGAACACACACACATCCTCTTCAGCCACTGATCTATCCTGGAAAAGACTTAGGAAATCTCCTCTTAGCTACCAACACCTTCCCTTTATATGGCCCATTCTTTTTTTCATGGACGAAGATGGAAAAGGCTTATGGGAAATGATGTTATTATGACTGAGAACATGATTATTCGGAGGTTCCAATATATTCGTGTTTGTGTGCGTGTATGTGTATGTACGCATGTGTAATCTTCAAAACGCAGTAAGGCAGGGAACATAAACCCACTTGCGCCAGAAGCATTTATTCAAATTAATTCATCAGCAACACTAAACCCCTTTTTCTATCAGTAGACTGGCTCTACAAACAGGAGGTTCTCTTAGAGCTGCTGTAAGGCACAATGCTGAATCCTTTACTGGCTGATGAATCTGATGGAGTACAGGTTATAATCCTGACTGATTTTTATCGGGGGCGGAGGACGGCTAATAGAAGGAAAATGAATAAAGTTGTGTCTGAGAGAGGGATTCAGGAAAAAATGTAACATGAGCCACTCCCGCCACGCAGACCTGCTGGTACCAGGTTGCAGTCTGGAATGGGAGGAGTTACAGGAGCCAGGATGGAGTCAGGAGGCTCCTTCCAGGTGTCTGCTCTCCTCTAGCTTGGGATCTTTGTTTGGCCAAGTGCGGTGAGTGTGTGAAGGAGGAGTACCAAAAGCAAGGCACAGCCCAGGGCTGGGGAGGCTGCCTTCATTTCCTGTTTCACTCTGGGGAGAGAAAAGCAGTCATTTTTGGTGTTTGATTGTAGCTTCTGATGGATTCGGATAAATAGAAAGGCGACTTTCTAATAGACTAGCTCAAAAGACATAGAAAAAGTGGCTTTAAAATAGTACATACAATTGAGTGTCAATTACTTTTTAAAATTAAACAAAACAGTAGGCTGGAACGTGTACTTAACCATGTGGTATGCATTGGCTGTTGCCGATTAATGAAATAGCTGTGGTTACTGAAATCTCAGCAAGGGAGTTTTAAAGCATCAGAATTATAAACAATTCCAATAATAATAAAAGACAGTAAAAGCTCCCTTTGCTCAATTCAACAAGTATTTACTGAGCACCTCTTATGGGCCTTTATGGGTTTACTTCTCTGTCCTAATTTTAGCTTTAGTTTCAGGCAGTGTTTGATCTTTAGGAACTTGTAACACCTAAATGTGGGAACTGCCTGTATTCTGGTGTGAAAATTTAAAAATTCAGTTACAGAAGGTGGTGAACTTCTCCACTGAGGAGGCCACAAAGCAGGGTTCCCTTCGCAACCTTCCTTACCACGCTGACAATTTAATTCCTATAGAACGAGGTTAGCATATTCCCTTGCAGGAACAGGTCCACTGCAAGAAAGATTATTCATTTACTCATGAAATGATATTTAATGAACACCGAAGTGTGTACAAAATCACTGAGGTGCCCCTACCTGTCAACCTCACAGGGTTTCAGTAGGACTCCAATGAGAAATCTAGGTGACTCCACTTAAAAAAACGTAAATTGCTCTATGTAGAGAAATGCTATTTTTATTACGTACCTGAATGAGTCACGAACACATTCAATTGTTCCCAAATGTAGAAAGTTACAATTATCTGGGTCTCTTTTCCTTAAGTTTTAATAGTAGCTAACATTTATTGAGCTTGAAGTGCCACTGGTGTGTTACATGCTTTGTAACAATTCTCTTCATCCCTCCAATAACCTTAGCAGGTGGGTATTGTCTACATACTAAAAGATGAGGAAACAGGAGGTCAAGAAATCTGATGAAATTCCCATAACTAGACAGTATTACAAAACTGGGATTTGAATTCCCACCTATTTGTCTGCAAATCCTGTGAGCTCAATTCTGTTCTGTAATGTACATTTTTTTAAAGATGATGATTTTCTTTAATTATATTACAGGTAAGCCACATTTGTATTATGAAACATCAAGCAGTTTCAAGATTACCAAATAGAATTACAACTTCTTGATCATTCAGGGTTGTCGATGAACAGTAGTAACGGCGCTGGGCTATGCCCTGGTTTATCCTAAAGCAGGCAGGGCTGCTTGTCCCTGCTCTTAAGACCTAAAGTGATTTTTGCCTGTGTTTAGCCATGTGGTTTTTCTGTCTTTTCCTTTAACCTGTCACTTCTCCCTGATGGTTCTGTGCCTGTAATGTGCTGGGGAATAATAAACCAAATGGGCAACAGTAGGGATCTAAGGCAGTGGTTCTAAGTTGTGAACATGACTCGCCAGGTGAGCTAGTTTAAATGCAGATTCTTGGGCCCCACTTCCTGATGTTCAGCTTTAGTAGCTCTCGGAACCTGAGGCCCAAGAACTGCTGCTCTAGGAGTAAAGAACACACACTTTATGATTGTGTGAAATGTATTCTCTAAGCAGCATCTGTTTTAAGTTTTAGATTTTCATCTATGGTCTGGTGACTAAATGTAGGGATTAAAAAATGTTAAATATATAGACGAGGTGAGTGGGAAACAGAACCTGCTATTTTCACTCATATTATAAAATACCAGATTTATTGACTAAAAGAGCAACAGAAGAGCCTGAAAGTACCAGAAAAATGACTTACTTTTTCCAAAACTCCACTTTTGGAAAGTCTGTCAAAATTCTAGGTCTCTTTCTTCTTGAAGAGCATGGGTATGAATGTTGGCTCTCTGCTAGTTAGTTATCTGACTTCTGACAAATCACCTAACCAGTCTGAGCCAGTTCCACCCTCACCTTTAAAGAAGAGAATAGTATCTCCTTTCAGGGAGGGTGGGGCTTCAGAGATAACGCACAGAACGTTCCCGGTAAGTACTCAATATGTGGTCAAATTTTAAAAATGAACTTTTTTTTTTTTAAATAGGAATTCCAGTTGTAACGATCACAAAACTTTTGTGACTCTTTGAGGGGCTCAGCTTTCATATTTATACATCCAATGTTATATAGAGATAGGCACAGCGGAGTGTCCTCCCTTATAGTCTAAGGCAATAAACCAAATTTACATTCTAGGCACATTCTTACTTTAGCTGTATGAAACAGGCCTGCTGTTTGAAACTTCAGCTGTATGAAACAGGAAGTAGTTATCTCTATGTCACACTACAAGGAATGCAAAGAAACCAACCAAGACTTTGATATCTTAAATATTAGAGACAAACCCTAAATATTTATAATGAAGTATCATTTACTTCACTAGAAGAAACAGGCATACTAACATGAAAAAACACATTTTATTGCACTTAAGTTATAAGAAAATAAAATTTCTAAGTGAATCAAACCATAGACACAATCCCTTTAAAGGTTGTTTTCCTCCATCATGTCAGGTTGTTACATAACTAAAATTAACCAACTTGAATCTGATTGTTTTAAATCAGACTATAAATAAAACAAAAAAAAAATAAACAGGAGGAGGAAAAAAAGATCACCTAGGATACAGTGTTAAACCACTTTCACAGTTCAGCTTGAGTTGTGGCTCTTGGAGAATGAGGCAAACCATTTGACTTTTTCATTCATTTCGTTTGTTTGCATGTGACGCCTTTACTACAAAAACTGTAGTTTCTGCTTTGTCAGTTTCTCAGAGCAATAAAACTGTAACAGTTGTTTTCCCAAATACTGTAAAACACTAAGACTGACCAGCAACTTTGTTTTATATATTTTTAAAATATTTTGTCAGTTTTATTATGTACGTTCATCCATTCACCACAGCCCTCAAAAAGAAAAGTTTCTCCACAGAACAGGCGGCAATAGCTCTCTGTTCCAAGGAATGTGTTTTAATTTTTGCCCAGATAAAAGAAAATAAGCTTTGCACACACTCTCAATTCTTTACTTGCAGGCAAACTTCACTCTTTATTATCTGAAACTCTCCCATTCTCAGCCTCTTAGAGGCACAGATGGTTCAAGTTTCAGTGGCAAAAAGTCTTTTTTCTGTAACCAAACTAGAGCAAATTTGGAATTCAGTCTGGGACTAAAACGTCACAGCAGAAAAAAAATAAAAAAAAATAATTTGCTTTTTTCTTTCTTTCATTTAGCAGCATAAATAAGTTTGGCCACTGGGAGTACAGTACAGGGGTGGGACAACAATCCCATATTTGAAGACCTACTTCTAGCACCAGCATCAAGAATTAAATCCATCTCAGGACTCACGGAACCCAGGACAACTTGCCACCTTTGAGCAACATATGCATTGAAGAGTGTATGTGGAAGCGACAGTAAATAGATTAACAGAGGCTAATACTGTGATTGATTGACATTGGCAATGGTTGGCAAAAAAAAAAAAAAGCTTTTCATGATAACTGTACAAAAACAATTCACAGTAAATTTTTTTTTTTTTTTTTTTTTTTTTTTTTTTTAGCTTTTCCACTCCAGAAAAATGACTTTTTGTTGCAGATGCTCTCTACTGAGAAAGTCAGCCAGTCCCTGTTTGGGTGTTATTGCAGCCCCTTCCTAGGTCTCAGTGGTAAAAGGACAGGCTAACAGAATCTTTAACGAAGCTTCAGCGTTAACACTGCCCAGTGACCACTGGAGAAGAAAATAAAGAAATAATTGCACCTGGTTTGATTTAGAAAGTCTCATTTTGCAAAGCTGCCCTCAGTCAAAAGTGAAGCCTTTTATGTGCTGAGACAGCAGACGCCTCTCTCGTCAGTTACGGTTTGTCATGTCTTCCTCTTTTCCTTCTTGTCTGTAGATCTCTTCACTCTGTTGCCCCAAGCCAACATCCTGCACCACTGAGAACAAGGGATTTTTTTTCTTTTTCTTTTCTTTTTTCTTTTTTTTCTTTTTTTTTCTTTTTTCTTTTTTTTCTTCTGTTGTTTTTGTTTTTTGTTTGTTTTTCAGGGGGAAGGGCAGGGAGTATATCGTCTACACATTTGGACAAATTTCTTTTCTGCTCTTCACTTCATGTCCACATCGAAGTCCAGCACCAGCAGCTTGGTTTCCTCAGTCCCATTCCGACTCCCAACTGCACACACCAGCTTTGTGTTTGAGGCTCTGATCCGCCACACGACTCCCCCACTCCCCCCACTCTCCAATGTGACTAGGTTTCGAATAAATTCACCCGTTTTCAAGTCCCATAGTTTTACAGTTCCATCATCTGAGCTGGTAATTACAAAGTTCTTGTTGAACTGTAAACAGGTCACAGCACTCTGATGCTTGTTAGGACCTAGGCAAAACCAAAGGAATTAAATTACTGGTTAGAAATCATGGGTATGGGCAAGTTACACTGTAATTGTACCCTTCTACATTAGAACATACAATAAATGAAATATTTAAAATGCTGCATATTTAGAAACTGTGAGTATTTTAGGATCAGCAGGGTTGCAAGAAAATCTGGTAGTTATTTGTAACTGAAACATTTAACTTTCAAGAGTTCTGTCTTCCAGGAAGCTTGGTTAGCTATGGGGCACACGTTTTGTTTTCCGGCTGTGCAAATAAGAGCCTTCCTAGTGGTGATGGAGATAGCTCAGCTTCATGTATTCTGCTGATGGATGAATGGGCACCAAATCTACCAGCCTTACCACCTGGAACTGACCACTCAGAGGTGAAGGCTGAAATGACCACAATTCCAAAACTCTGAGGAATAGACACAACCAATGAGTAAAAAGTTGCATTGCAGCCCACCAAATGGCCTCAATGAAAAAACACTTTTCAGGGCTATGACCAATAAAAAGAAGTTAATCATGACAAAAAATGTTAACACCGTTGTGCCTCATTTAATATTAGTGGCTTTCACATGTTTATTTTTTCATTTTACTGGGTGCTATCATTCCTTCCATCCTAGTTAAGCAGATGGTTAAAGGGTCTAAGTTGAGGCCAAATCAATTTTCTATCAGATTAGAGATGCTCTTTTTACCCCAGTAAGGTAGCTCTTTAATTTAGAATTGGACTACAAATTAAAAAAAAAAAAAAAAAAAAAATCATCCAAAAAAAAAATGAGCTTGTTGCTTCTCTGATATAGCCAAGATCTTTCTTCACATTGTTCTTTAAGATTAGGTCGAATTAACTGTACATGTAAGGAAGTATTAAACAATTTTATATTAAAAACACAATTTAAAACAATTTCTTAAGGGTAGCCTAGTTCTGTCAAGTCAGAGTGAAAATGCTCAGAAACTTATCCAAAATAAGCATTTTCATTTTGTATGAGGTTAATTCTTTTTGTGACAATAAAAGCTCCATATTTCTCTTTTGACTAACAATCCCATTTTTAACGAACACAACTAAAGCTGAGTAGCCAAGACTTACCTTGCAATGTTTGTAAACACTGTCCTGTTTTGATATCCCAGATTTTAACTGTAGAATCTGCATTCCCAGAGACAAGAATATTGTCTTTGAGTTCCATTCCACTTGTTAACGATTGGTGTCCTGTTAACGTGTGAATGCAATTCCCCGTCTCCACATCCCACACTCGGATTGATGTATCAAGAGATCCACTCACCACATGGATGCCATCAAACTACAACAGACACAGCTTATTAGACTAGAAGTGCAGATATTCTTGATATTATTTATTGACCTTAATCCTACAGGGGAGAAAAATAAAGCACAGGAAAGAGGTAATGCCAGGAATAAAATGAGGTAACAGGATAAAAGTGCAGGTAAATCAAGCAAATCTACAGTGTATGTTCTCAGAAGCTTCTATCAAAATTGCTAATTTAAAAAAAAAAGATTTATTTATTTATTTTAGAGAGGGATGGAGGGGCAGAGGGAGAGGAGAGAGAGAATCCCAAGTTGACTCCCTGCCAAGCACGGAGCCCAACGCAGGGTTCGATTCCACAACCCTGAGATCATGACCCAAGCAGAAACCAAGAGTCGATGCTCAACCAACTGAGCCACCCAGGTACCCCCAGAATTGCTAATTTTTTATGGCCAGTGGCTTCAAACTAGATGCAGAAACAATTAAAAGAAAACAAAACACCTAAAATGAACATGTTAGTTTCAGATCATCTGGCCACAGATGATCAGCTAAATATCATGGATCATTCAATAAAGATTGCCATTTGAATCTTACTTCCCAACACAAAGTTGAAACTACTGACATAGCTTGTGATAAAGGGTGTGTTTATTAACACACCTACGGCATGAAAAGACTAGAGACAACTCTCATGGTGTTTAAAAGTAAGTTCCAGGGGCGTCTGGGTGGCTCAGTTGGTTAAGTGGCTGCCTTCAGCTCATGTCATGATCCTAGCGTCCTGGGATCGAGCCCTACACTGGGCTCCATGCTCAGCAGAGAGCCTGCTTCTCCTCTCCCTCTGCCTGCCTGCCTACTTGTGATCTCTCTCTCTGTCAAATAAATAAATAAAATCTTAAAAAATAAAAGTTCCATTAAAATCTGTATGTAAAATAAAAATTTCATTTACAAGAACCAAATGGTAATTAGGAAATGCACCAATAGATAATTACATCTGGAATTACAAGAAGTGGCATTTTGATAACAAAAGCAAGCTATATAGCACCTCTTCTCCAGCTTCCCAGCTATACTAAAAGTCAATAGATGTCAATTCCTAGAAGATCTAGAATAGTATTGCTACCTCTTTTCTCAATCTAATGGTTTATTAAATGAGAATATTATATTCATTAAGGTTCTGAACATATCACAAAACATAAAAACAACTTCAGCCAATTCCCTCTCCTCCAAATTCATAAACTTTTTTAAGTTTATCTTTATTATATATCAATATTTTGTGACATAGACAGTATTCCACAAATTAAGAGCCAAATATTCCAAGAATAGATAACTGTCAGCACTGGGACTACGTACTAATCTGCTGATCACTAATGGGCAGTAACTGGTAAATAAACTATATAAGTAATGGAAAAATTTTCAACTTGAAAATGCTTTCAGAAAATAAAACAAGACCCATTTTCTAAATTTGCTATTAATCTAGCTATCAATTTCAAAAATATGACAACTCACTCAAGAATATCATGTTCAAAGGTATACAAAAAAAATCAGGTTAGTCAAATTTACTTCCTATGACTACAAATCAGCAGCCCTTTGATGGTAGAGCAGTCTGATGGAGAAAGTCTCTGCTTCCACTTTGAATGGGAATGGATCACAATTACATGGTCCATCAACTTTCAGCTATCAAGGTAAAGGGGCAGTTTTTGGCCAAATTAATCCTCTGCTAAGGAGTTTATTAAAATCCAGGTTATTTTCCTATGAGACTATCTACCCATTAATTAATATAGTAAAACTTGGGGCTCCAAACTTTCAGGTTCCAAGACAAATATTTGTATTTTAGAGGAACAACAGATCACAGAAATACTGAAACAAATTATTTAAATAAGTTAAAAATTTATGCTTTCTTCATGCCAATTTTAAAGTATATGTAAACAACAGGATAATTTGATTTGTCTTTTTTGGATTGTATTGAATCAGCAATTTGACAGTGATTATCTGAGTAAAACAATCTCATGATTCATCAGCAAAGCATCTAAGGGATAGGAGAGATATGATCTCTTACCTGTAATGAATAGACTCTATTAGTATGCCCCTGCAACGTGTGTAGACAGGTCTCCGTCTCTGGATCCCACACCTTCACCATAAAATCATATGCTCCACTAACAACCCTCCTGCCATCATATTGAACACAGCGGACTGCTGCTACATGACCCATCAAAACATGTAAACACTGGCCTGTCTCAATATCCCAAACCCTAAGAGTGGCATCTCGAGAACCGCTAACAACTCTGTGGGGGGGGGGAACAGAAAAAAAAAGTTATTAAAATTTTTAATAGCATGAGAAAACATGATATATAAAGTCAGTGGTTATTGAATTTTTTCTTTTCTTAAGCAGGAACACCTGTTTTCAAAGAAATCCTATGTAAAACCTTGAGATATAAACATACAAAAGTCAAGTTACTCTGGTTGGGATGGGAAGTTGGGAAGCCTAGAACTGTACCTGCTTGGTTCCCACATTTCCCACATTTATAAGTGGCGTGCAGCACCCGGGGTTCTGTGGGATGGCCTGAAAACTGCTGTATTGTATTCAAAGCAGAAGCAGCAGTGGCCAGCTCCAAATATAAACAATAAGATTTTGATTTTAGAAATAAAATGCTAATGTGGGCAACATGTATAAAATGTTAATGGGAGAACTCTGGTGGTAGTATTTTGAAAAATTTTGTATTTCTTCTTTATTCTTTCTGCCATTTCCCAAAATTGTAATTATGAACATACATTCTCTTTGTGACTAGGGAAGACATTTAATAAACGTTATTCAACAAAACAAATCTGAATTTGGAATTTAAACAGTTAAAGATATGTGCCTTATACCATTATAATTCTGGTAAAATTAACCAGTTTTAGAATATCTTCAAACAAAGGCTGCTTATGCTTATAATTATAGTCAGCAGGCTACGGAGGAATTAAGATATGCAGATTTTAGAAGATACACACGGGGAGGCAACAGAAACCCCTTAAAAAATTGGCCCAACATTATTAAAGCTATGCTCTTCGGAAGACGGGAGTGATACAAATATCACAAGCACCTTTGGATTACGAAGGAGAGCTGAAAATTCAGGTATTTTCATGTTAGTCTTAAGAGATAAAGATAGGCCACAGTTTCTACATTTGGAAGAGTAGAAAGGAGCATTGAGAGATTTAAGTCAGAATATAATGGAAACTGAAATACAAGGTTTCTTAATGTCAACCCCCCCAAATTTTAATAGAGCACACTGTTCAAAGTAGATTCAGATTACAAATGAAATAGTACTTTTCTTCACATATTACAAATCTAGCGTGAAATCTGCTTAATGTAATGGTTTTCACAAAGAAGATGTTGTGGATAGAAATAAAGGTAAGGTAAGGACGGGAGCGGATTCATGGTAAGGACTGCCAGAGAGACCTTTTATGACAAATGAAGTCGAAATCACATTTGTTTAACGAGGTACTGTGAAGACATGCCAATAGAAGATCGAAAGGACTTTAACAGAAGGGCTTTAAGGAGGAGATCAAAGCAACAGTAAAGGCACTGAGAAGAAAAAACGGCAAGCCAGTCTGGTTTGGCTGAAAGTATTTTGAAAACGGGATTGAGGATTTCTTCCTTGACTCGACAGACAACAGAAGGCTCTCAAAGGGCAGTGATACTATCATAATTAGAAAAGGATTCTCTGTCAGCTGTGTAACAGGTGAGAAAACCACGTGTGATAGCTATGTCACTAGTTCAGGTGATCGGTAATGAGAGACTCAACAAAAACCCGCAGACCTCAGCTTTTGTCTAGATATAAGGGGATATGATGGAGTGCAGGTAGGGTGGGTGGGTAATTAAAAAGACTCAGAAGCTGGAAGCCTAAATAACTGAATTTGTCCCACGAGCAGAGATAAAAATGTAAAAAAAAGAGAGAGAAAGAAAAAGACTGTTTTGGAGATGATGAGTCATCAAAGATATAGAACAATAACGTGCCACCCAAGATTAGAGAACAGAGTTTCAAGGAGGAAGCCAACAATGCCATTAAATGAAGAAGGAAATTTAAAGACAATCTCCCAATTTTAAGCCAATACACTACTGCTTTGCTAGTATAGAAACATCTGAAGTCTACTAATTAAAGTCTAATTTAAGAGGACACTATCACTCTCTAATAAACACTGTATTAGACAACTGATAACAGAGGAAGAATTCCCAACCACTACAGGATTTTCCCTTACCTTTTTTCATGGAGATGCATACAGCGGACAGTGGAAGTATGCCCATATAAGGTATGTATACATTCTCCAGTCTCTGCATTCCACACTTTTAGAGTCCGATCTGTAGATCCACTAATGATGATATTGTCTCTCATCTGTGATGACCACACTCCACCTGTGTGTCCCACTAATGTTCTCAGACACTGGAAAAACACTTAAGATGATTACTTTTGGGTAGAAAAAAATGATTTACATAACATTTCAGTAGCTCATTAAAATTTGGGGTAAAGTTATTTATAAAATTTTATTGTTTGGCCCATCAGAAAATAATTTTTCATGTCAATATAACATGATACCATCACTATTTATTGCTTTGCTTGTTCAGTAGCATTACATATTAAACACACAGATACAACTGAGGAACAAGTCTGTAGAAAGTAAAACACTTCTCATTAAAGTATGACAGCTCCAGCCTGGTCTCTGATAAAATAATGCTAAAACTGCAACTTGGTTACTTCCATAGGAATGGATTCAATGAAAGAATGCCAACCGTGTTAGGTGTGGCTATATAGCACATTTCATCTGAATCTGCCCCAAGGCAGTAGTTAGGAGCCAGGCAAGGTACTTCTAGACAAGTAAAGACAGATATTAAAACTCTGAAATAAATCCAAAACTAATATTACACTATGAAAGTATGAAGCTGCTTTAAAAAATTTTAACATCCGATTTGGACTATTTAGAAGATTCTTGCCCAAGAATTAGCATGCTGTAAAACATTTTAAAAGACAGGTTTTTTTCCCTCACATTTTCCTCTGTGTTTTTTTTAGCTGGTCAATTACTTAATTTATGCAAACATTTTCCAGTGGACAGATAAAAATAAGTATTCACCACAGAACCATTGAAGTATAATACTGCATGCAGTGAAACTGATTGGTTGGACTGCTTTTTTCTTCAAACTCCTACTTAAATACTGTATCTGCTTTACTTTCATCGCACAGGGCTTGAGATAAGCCTAAATTAACATCTATTTAAACTTCTAAACTACAGGTAAGTTATCAACAAAGCAGTTTACAAAGAAAAACAAATATCCCTCAATCATAGTTTTGAAAAAGATTAAAAGGGACAATATAACTGAGATGGTTAATAAAAGTGGGAAATATTAAGCCAAGAAAAAGAAAAAAAAAGATAAAGCACATCTGTAAAAATCATACAATAGCTAAGTCACAAAGATAGACAAACTATTTATAGGAAGAAACCAATGACATCCCTATCCTGAGAAACATTATCTTTGTGCCAGGGGAAAAAATAAATTAGAAGCTCTGATACTTGTTATCAAAATAAGCTGTGGTCAAAAATGAACCCATGTTTTCCCTGGCTGATCCTTGCAAAGACATATACCAAAACTGAAGTGTAGAAAGAAGCTTACTTTGCCTGTGACTGCTGACCAAACTTTTAAAGTGTTGTCATCAGAACCACTAACTATTCGGTTACCACAAAACTGCAAGCATGTGATCACATGATCATCATGTCCTTTCAGAACCTACAAGATAAATGTACAGATTAGAAATATGTTATTAAATTACATTTTTTAGAATAATGGTGAAAAGAAAAATAAAGCCATAAATAGGAGCAGCAATCTACAGTCTATTTCTAAAATTACAATTTATATAAAACACAAAGTATCATCCTTCCTGAATGATGAATCAAGTATTAAACATTTTATTTTTTCCATATTCTATGATTTATATGTGAGATATCAACTATTAAAATTGAGTGAGTCAAGACTTTTATATTAAAACTTCATAAAGATGGTTCAAATGCAAATGTATTTTATAATTATTTGTTCAAACCAAAAAAATACGCATCTATGTTTTGCAATTTTCACACACAAAAACAAAAAGCACTTACAAACTAGAAAGACAAGAGTAACAATAACTATCAACTTTCTCAACTTAAAACAAGAAAGGCCTGTGGGCGCCTGCATGGCTCAGTCAGTTAAGCGTCTGACTCTTGATTTTGGTTCAGGTCATGATCTCAGGGTCATGAGATCAAACCCCAGGTAGGGCTCCATGCTGGGTGTGGAGCCTGCTTGAGATTCTCTCTCTCTCTTCTCCCTCTGCCCCTCTCCCCCAACCCTGCTCGCACCCGCTCATTCTCTCAAAGAAAAAAGGCCTGATATAATCTATACATATTAATATAACAGTATCTCCCCTAATTGCTTTTTTCCAGTCATATAAATACATCTAAGAATTTCAAGCATTTTGCCACTATTTATATACTTGCAGTAAGACAGAAAATCAGTATTATGCTTAAATTTATAAAAATAAAACTCACAAGAAACACCCAAAACACAAACTATTTACAAGAGACACCGAAAACACAAATGCACACTCCTCAAAAAATCATGTTCTAACTACATGGTCAGAGAGCAAGAAAATTCTTAGGTAAAACGTATATAACACAAAATTCAACAGGATATTCAGAAATTTTCATTTACCTAAGGTAGAATGACATGCAATTCAACTCATCTTTTATCATCTTTTACCATCAGCTGTCAGACTGGAGAAATTAGCAAGAGGGGACGACTGTTCATTACATTTTCAGTTATTTAAAAATACACTGTTTCTTTCTATAGGAGATAGGTGTCAAGTTATACTCCTGGCCAAGAAGAGCACACTAGGTACCAACACTGATCTGTGGTTGCTGGTACATCGTGCCAGAGTTCAATTACCTTAGGAGATTTGAGTTCTCCTCGCCTCCAGTTAGTATCAATTCTGTGCTGCCTGATATATGCACTTTTCCATGGACTGTGTATGAAACCTGGTTTTATGACTTTTCTTCTCTTGATGTGCAATGGTTCATCGATACCTAGTTTTAAAGAGTTAGAGTATAACTGCTGTCACCAATAATAAAAATTCCACATTTTATAATATATCTCATTTCCTCCTATGCTCAAAACCACTGAAATGCAGGATGCTGTCCAATTTCTAACACTGTTAGTATAAAACAATAATGTAAAGTTTGCATTCTCTATGGCATGTTTTCATATTTTTTTCATTTCTTTTTCTAAATAATTCTATGAAATGTTGGTGAGGATGTGCAGAAATTTGAGCCCTTATGCAATACTTGTGATAATATAAAATGGTATAGCAGCTATGGGAAACAGTACGGTGGTTCATCAAAAAAATTAAACATAGAATTACCGTATGATCCAGCAATTCCAATTCTGGACATACACCCAAAAGAATTAAAAGCAGAAACCTGAACAGGTATCTGTACACACATGTTCAGAGCTGCCATCATTCATAACTGCTGAAAGGTGGAAGCAACCCAAGTGTCCATCGATGGATAAGCAAAATGTCATGTATGTATGTATGTATGTATGTATGTATGTATGTATGTATGTATACATATATATACATACACACACACAAACACAATGGAATATTTATTCAGACTTAAAAAAGAAGGGAATTCTGACACACGCCACCACATGGATAAACCCCGAAGACAATATGCAAAGTGAAATCAGCCAGTCACAAAAAAACAAATACCATATGATTCTACTTATATGAGGCACCCAGAGAAGTCAAACTCATAGAGACAGAAAATAGAACGGTGGTTGCCAGGGGCTGCAGGGAGGAGGACTAGGGAGTTACTATTAAATAGGTATGGACTTTCAGCCGAGAAAAATGAAAAAGTTCTGGAGATGGACTGTATAACAACATGAATGTACTCAATGCCACTGAACTGTAAACTTAAAAATGGTTACAATGATAAATTGTCTTAGGTATATGTTACCATAATTTTTTTTAAAAAGTCATTAAAATAATGATTCTATGAGAGAAGGTAAGGCAGGGATGATTAATCCCACTTCATATAATACAGATTCTTGAGAAGGTTTCACTAATTAGTCCAAGCTACAGACAGGGCAGAGGCAGGATCAGAAACCAAGTATCTTAGATCTTCACCTTTCACTCACCTGTAACCTCCTTGAAGGGGAGGATAACCTATAGAGTATCTGTCTCATGCTCTGTGATTATTTCTAAAAATTTCTGATTAACAGAAACAAACCAGACTTTTACATTTTTTTCAAAAATACAATTTTTCTATAGGCCTGCTGGAAAAAAAGTCCTTTCTTTACTTAATATGGAGGATACCTTCTCCTTTACTAAGAAAGGAGTTTTGTTTTTGTTTTTTTTTCTTACAGTTTTCAAGAACATAAGCTCCATGATGGGAAGAAAATGGGAGTTCACTACTATATCCCCAACATTTAAGAATGTCTAGCCCATAGGAGGTGTTCAATAAATATTTGTGGAAGGAAAGAATAGAATATGGAGTATTTGAGTACTGTTAATATAATTTTGGGGTTTCCCTCATTCTATTTTATTTAATGAGTGAGTGAGTGAGTGAGAGAGTAGTCATTTATTTAGTGTGAATTCTAGTCAGCGAGTTTCTCTCCCAAGGACAGTTGCAATTATAACCTTACCTCTAACTGTAAGTACTGGAGAGGCAGGATACCTTTCTCTTCCATAAAATTGCTGGTAGAAATTCATATATATCTTATTTTAAGCAAAAGTTTGTATTGAGGTCTTTTGTTTGTCTTTTTTTAAATTGAGGTATAACTGACATACAATATTAATAACAGGTGTACAGCACAGTGATTTGATACATACATTGCAAAATGGTCACAATAAATCTAGTTATCCTCTGCCAATTTACAAAGTTACTACAATATTATTGACTATATTCCCCACGCTTTCATCTCATCTCCATGACTTACTTATTTCCTAATTGTAAGTTTGTAGCTCTTAATCCCCTTTACATGATTTTGCCCCCCAAGCCCCCTCCCCTCTAGCAACCACCAATCTGCTCTGTATCTATGGGTCTGTGTTTGATTTTTGGGTTTCCTTTAAATCATCCTCATCTTGATCTTTTCATTGTTTGTTAATTGTACTAGAGACTGGGAAGCAAATCAGAAATATTTGCTATTAGTTATTAGTGATCATTAAAGGGGTTAGCTCCAAGATTTGGCTCATTGGAATGTGTGGGATAACCTGTGGATTTTATATAAGTAGGTGAATATAAATGAAGACTCATTCTTGATTCTTCGATAGGCTGCCGAAGTTCTCTTTTCTCAGTTATCCACTACTTTATTCTACCTGCACGTAAAACTTCTAATTTGTACTTTTTCTATTTGTTTTCAGAATCACTTTGCTTTTTCAAAGTATAAAGATTTTCTCTTGTGGTTTTGAACCTTACCCTCTTCTTTGCATTTCTCTCTCCAGAGAAGGTTGTCTTCAGCCAAAATTCTCCAGTAGCGACACGTCTGAGCCGCTTGTAGCAGGTCTTTGGGTTCCAGGAATGAAAGCACATAAAGTGCCAGCTATGGAAAGGAAAAAGCATAGTATACCCACGTTTTAAATATATGTGTGTGTGTGTATTTATATTTAACATATAATTAACTTATATATAACTATTTTCAACAGAATGAAGTACTCCTAGGTAAACATAATTCTACATTCTAATTTTTAAAATTATGAAAGGCAGTACTTTCTAAGAGTCAGTCTTAAACATATAGCAGACTTAAAAAACTTACTCTATTGGTTTTTATGAACTTCACTCCACCAACTTCACCTCTTCAAGGAATAATTATTAAGCCTCCCTGCCTCTGCTCTTGCCTTTGCTCTGTGAGTCTCAACTCGAGAATTCTACTATTTCTGTCTATAGATATACTTTGTTAGTTGCTTAGATTCTCTACTTTTCTCTCCCCACGACCATGTAAATTCAATGAAGACAGGACTTAAATTAAGAAATGAGATTTCTAGATATTCTGTGTGGTATGATTTCAGATCACTTCTGACAGATATAATTAATAGTTCTTTATCATGTCAAAGTGTTTATTATCACAATGATGAACTTTTCAAACATTTATACCCTTTACTGTAAAGGACAATAGGGGACAATTACTAAACTGCTCCACAGACATATAAAAGTAATTAGGTTCTAATTACTTTACATTGCTTATGGGGATTTTCTTGATCGGCCAGATAGATTTTTGTATGTTTGAACTAGCTCTTTAGTATATCACTGATCTTAAAATTTTGTTTCCAATACTTGCAAACAAGTTTTTTTCAGCATGTTTACTCAATTCAGGTAAATAAGGAAGAGGAAAGAAGAAAGGGGGGAATGGTAGCTTCTGAGTATGCTTATCCAATTAGCCTCACTAATCACATAAAAATTTAAGTTATGATATTAGAATCAAAATGAGTTAAACACAGCAATAAAATTTAGTTTTTACAGAAATTAAATTACAAGAATTAAAACAAACAATCATTCAAAGGGCCAAAGGCCAAATGGGAAGTAAAAGCACAATTTGAATTATTTTCTGATGCTAAACAGTAATTACATAACGTAAGTTACGCTTATCCAAGAACTTTGTATACAGAGAGTTCACCATTAATCACATATTTTTTGAGTACATTTCATATAGAAAATACTCCAACCAGTCAGTATTCAATTTAATACTACTACTAATAACTGACAGTGAAAGGCTTTTTGTGGAATAATTATTTTGGTCCATCAGAGAAGCCCATTCAGTCTGAGTCATTTTAAATAAAAAGGCATAACTACATTCAACAATCTATGTATATGTGTATATATAGATACACATATACAAGTACGCAAACACATATATATCTCAACATTGTACTTTTTTAATGGATACTCCGTAAGTCACTTAATTTTGAAATTATCAATCAATCAGAGCCTGGGTAAGTTTGTTCAGTGTCAGTATAACAGTAATGGGATAACACCATATTCTTCTATGTGAAATTGATATTTAACATAGAAATTATCAGGGACAAAGTTATACTGGTGGAAAAGAGATGCTATTTAGTGCCCAAGATATTTAATATGGTCATACAAAAAAATCTATTCTTTACTTTAGTTATCCAGCTGAAGTAGAAATCAGGTAATTCACAGAAACAGTCAAAGGATCTTAAAGGCTAGAAAACAAATCCAGAGCACCTCAGATTTCAAAGGTACATCCCAAATCATCAGTTATAATATCCCTCATTACTGGTGATTGTCAGATAACCTAGTCCAGTGTCTGCACACATTAAAGAGGAAAGAAACATTTAGGTGCTAAAGTACGTTGAAGTGTTAACTCCACATGTAACCAGCACACTTTCCTTTAAAATAGCAAAGACCCTAACTCAACCATGAACTTCTACTTATTCTATTTAAATCTAATCAGTTCTATTCAAAACATCGAAGTATTTCAGAAAATACACACAGCAAAATAAAAAATATGAATAAGAAAATCAGAACTAGTAAAAATATAAATCAGAAAAGAAGGTTTGAACCAGGGGAAAGTAGAACACAAATATACTGGCAACAGTATATTTACATGGTTTTTAAATTAAACTGCCAACCAAAAAGGGAACGGCAATTAGTTTCACAATTCTTTGTGTTTATTATGGGGGAAGTACACCAGTTCCTCAAAGGAAGCAAGGTTTTGTCATGTGGGGTTCCTTATACGGGACAGAGAATGGGCACTGTTCTGAAGAACATCTCTAGAACACCAAAGCAGGGGCTTACAGGTTTCTCGCAGACAAGTAAAATGGTCTGGCTAATACCGCGTTGTGTTCATTTGTCTTAAAGGTAAAATCTAGATTAGTAATTCCTCCTAAGGACTTCCACTGGACAGAAGCTCTTAAATTGAAAATCTCTTTCATATAATTAACTTTTCCTTGACCAAACTTGAAATTTCAGTAACAGAAAATAGGAAATGTTTCCTAGTAGTTGAAAAAAAAGGAAAACACAGATGATCTGCTAAGTCAGGGTCCTCTCTCATTCTCCTGTCTAGCCTCCCTTCTTTTTCCTCAGGCAATCTTTAAAAGAACAGTTAATCCCAGAAAATCTTTATTGCACTTACACCAGTTAATCGATAATTTGTGCTCAATTCTTAGACTCTTAAAAATATTTCCTATTCTCCTAACTTTAAATCACATTTTTATGTGTCCAAAAGTTACTATGGAAATACAAATAAAGTAAAACAAAACAAAACACTCACCATTCTTAGATATAAGGGGCCAAACGAGACTAAGCAAAAGTCTACATTTTAATAAAAATACTACCTTCTAAAATAAGGAGGCTATCCAAGGAAACCATGAAGAATATATTAGAGGTGACTAACTTTACTTTCAGTCACATACTTATAAAAGTGCTACCTATTATGAATGTTCTTCTGGAAGCAAAGAGAGCTTATGTCATTTCCTAAGCCAATTCTATTCAAAGTGTTCAGTTTTAGAATGAGCCAGCAAGAATAAAAAAATTTTTTCTGGGACAATACAATTTTTTTTTAACCATTTTAAAAAATCATTCCAAAGCAGAAACATTTCAGTTTGCTTTTTCCTGGAGTAATGCTTAGTTTCATACATTAAATATAAAACTATTTTATTTGTATCCAATGTGAAATTATTATTGAGACTATGTTTATTGCCCACAGGATATTTAGAATGGTTATTCACTCCTTTTCATATTTGAAGTTTCAAGATCATTTGCAGTGGTATATTATCATTTTATATATTGTCTTCTTAGCTGACATATAATTAGTGGCACATATATAATTTGTGAAAATATAAACCATGGTGACATTGATTATTTAATCTTACATTATTTGCTGGCAGAAATGAAACTGTGAAGCCTATTAACATCAATAAAAGAACTACATCTAAGCTATGCCTCGTTTATACTGCCAAGAATGCCCATATGATCATAATCTATCTGTGATAAAAAATAGTGTCAGTTCACATAAAGATATAAAAGCAAATGGGCATAAGTTAATTCCAAAAGAAATGTTGTAAGAATGTAATCAATGCAGGAAATCGGTGATTGTGCGTGTGTGTGTACGTGTGTGTGTGTGGGCGGGGGGAGATGGGGCAAGAAGAGGGATGATTAGTAGAAAAAGTGAAATTCCATATATTTCAAAACAATTACACAATGTAAGTTAACAGAGAACTACAACTCATAGAATCACAAAACTATTAGGGAGTATTAGGGACTTTGGATAAATAAACAACAAAATAAGAAAAAAATTGCTGTTTTACTAAAATCAGAATTTCTAAAAAATCTATTACTATGTATAATAAATGTACCATGACAACTAAAGGTTGGACTTCAAATAACCTGGGAAAAAAATCATGATAAAGAAATAATCAAATTAATGGAACTCAATAGCTTACTCTCATATATGACTTATTGCAGTGGTGGAAAGAAGTCACTTAATCAGTCCATAAATATACTTCAATCTGAAAATGATATTAAGTCATAGTAGCTTATCATTTACAGCTCTCTTTAACACTAATTAAGAGTGTTAAACTGACAATACTGAATACCATAATTAGCATGACCATGTTTAAAGGTGGTTGCTGTTGAGTTATATTTTCAAATAGCACCCAATGAAGAATATAATTGATAGCCCTTACCTCTTTAGGGAGCAAGGAAATGAAGTCTCGTTGAAACTGGGGTTCTATCACTTGCATCATATGTTTCACTTGGGTTGGTTCACAACTATCAATAAGCTCATCTAAAGCAAGCAATTTCTCTGGTCCACTCCAGCTCTATGAAAAAGGAAGTAGAAATTTTTATTATTTTTATAGATGTCTCAAATTAGAAGCTCATAAAGGAAAATCCACATTTATACATAACATAAAAGGTGGCTACTTATAGTGAAATTTTCTCCAGAAGTCACTGACATGATAATCAGTCTCATCAAATTTACTAGCTACCTTTATTTTGTAAAATAAAAAGCAGCCATGGTTTTGACAAATATTTTTGCACTGCAATATTTATTATAAATGTTTTATGTTCATCTACCATCAAAATACTGGCTGAGAAACCAAAGTTTTATCTGGAAACATCAACTTGGCTACTGAGTAAATAGGATATTTTGAAAGATGATTTTCCTTTCTCTATATTCTTTCTAGTGGGCACCATAAAATTTGATGGTGTTAATAAGGCACTGATCTGAGAGTTAAGAAACTGGCAGCATCACTTAAGAGGGAAATTAATAATTGGATATACTGCACATCTGACAAACGCCTGTGGTCCACAAAATAAAAGAGCTTTGATTTATTATGCGAAAATAATTTCAGATAAAAAACAGCAAAAATATAAAACAGTAACTAAAAATTAGAGTATGAACAAAAGGGTCAGAAACAAAGTACTACAAAAACAAAAATACATCATAATACTTTAAAAAATATGAGCTATTTTAAACTAGACTAGAGGATTATTTAAAAACTTTTTTTTTTTTTTGCCAGTGAGGAACATCTGCACAGAAGAGCCATGATTCCTAAAAGGAAAAATTAAAAAGCCATGTGAATAATTTAAAATGTCAGAATTTCCCCTCACGATAATCTCATAAAACATTTAAATAACCTTGTGATATTTAAGTGAAAGAACATCCTTGAGCAGGATGATTTAAGTACATTTGTGAATTATGATGTCCATTTTGGAAGCAGGTGAAGAAAGAACAATAGGTGGTGTTTGGAGCTAGAAAGATCTGGATTTTGACATTCCATTTCTTGCTCAAACCAGGAACCTGGATTTTGTAACATGTGAAATAGATAATAACTGAAAACTGAGATATACTGAGGATACAGGAAGCCTTATTTAGAATGCTTTTTAAAGTACTTAAAATTTTTTTTACCCCTTTAGAATCTACAATGAATTTCCTTTCTTCTTTTCTATCATAAAGTGTAGATTATGTTAATACTATCAAATATTTCAGTAGTGTTCCTCCCATAGCACTTACCACAAACACTATCTTATTTAATCATAAAAACCATGGAAACATTCCCATTTTACCCCCAAATAGGAGGAAACACAGGCTCTAATAAATCCTTTTATTTCTATATATGCATGCATCTAGAACATTCTCCTAGAGTACTCATCTTGTATCCTTTTTAGTTAGGGCGAGGATTGACACAGAAATAAAAAATACTCATATACATGTATCTGCATACACATGACCAATCAAAAGCAGTTAATTTGAAGTTAGATTGTTTTATTCAGTTTTCCTCACACAGCTTCAAGTCCTGGTTCAAAACATACTCTTTGACAAAACTTAACACTGATCAATCTCCACTCATCTCTGACCAATTAGTGTCAATGCTATAAGCTCTGATTTGATTTACATTCCACATAGGACCGAAGGTGGGTTTTCATAACATGTTGTTCCTCTGCATCTATATTATAAGGATTCATGGACACTAGCATAGGACATGCCGATTTGGGTGATGGACAATTTATGCTGACTAGATAAAAATGCAGCTTAAGTAACTTGATAGCATAATAATTTTTTAAAGATTTTATTTATTTGAGAGAGAGAAAGCAGGAGAGGGAGGAGGGTCAGAGGGAGAAGCAGACTTCCAGCTGACCAGGAAGCTGGATGAGGGACTTGATCCGGGAATTCTGGGATCATGACCTGAGCTGAAGGCGGATGCTTAACTGAGCCACCCAGATGCCCCTTAATGCAAACTTCTTAAACCCCTTTGCATATATGAATGCCTGCCCTAGAAATAGTTTATGGAAGTGTTTGTGGTTAAATTTTGATATAAAAATAAGGATATCATATGTAATCTTTTACAATGAAAAGAGTAAAAAAAGTTTCAACACATTACTACTCTATATACTTTACATAGATTAATGACATTAATAGCTATGATGAATATTTCTACTTCAAGGTAATATATATGTTTGATGCTTTCTTTTTTTTTTCAGTAAATGTATTGTTACTGTTTTCTTAAGAAAGGAGTAGAAAAGCATTATCAATACATGATATATAACTGTGTCTTTTATCAAGGGATGTAGAACGAAAAAAGCCAGAAGACAAATAACTGATTCAGACCTTAAACACTAAAAACTCTGTCAAAAATGTCTATATACTTGAGGAAAAGTCCATGACAAAAACTATGCCTGCATAGCACAATGTTTCTAGGACTTTAAAGAATGTTTTTGTTTTTTTTTTTAAGATTTTATTTATTTATTTGCCATAGTGAGAGAGCACAAGCAGGGGGAGTAGCAGGGGGATTAGGAGAAACAGGCTCCCCACTGAGCAGGGAGCCCGATGTGGGGCTTGATCCCAGAACCCTGAAATCATGACCTGAGTCGAAGGCAGATTCTTAACCGACTGAGCCACCCAGGCATCCCCACAACATTTTTGTTTTAAACACTATTTAACAAGTCAAATAAAAAGTATACCTTGATTTAAATTATACATATATTCAGCAGATAGTACTTTGTGACATTTTATTAAAAAGTACACCACTGACAAGGATTAGCATCACAGTCTGTAAACTAGATCGTAAATGAGACTGTTTCCAGAAGCACACATAATTCAACAGTCTAATTACTCACTGAAATCACATCTCTTAGATGGTTCCAACAAAGGTATGAGCCACATAGACACTTTCCTCTCTCCAGCTTGGATTTCTTCCCTGAACTCCAGACCACTATATAAAATTGCTTACTCTATATGTATTCTTAGATATGTAATAGAAACTTAACATTTCCATGATCTTTCTCGTCAAATATGCACGTCCACAATCCTATTTCCGTAAAATGTAACTCCATTCTATTAGTTGCTCAGGCCCAAAACTCTGGAATCATCCCTGACTGTCCCATTCTCACCACTGTCAGATGGTTCTGGCCCATCAACAAATTTAAAAGTTTTAAACCTCAAAATACATCCAGAATCTGACCATTAACTACATTGGTCTAGCTACTATCATCTCTCACCTGGATTATTCCTATAACCTCTTACCTAGTCTCTCAGCTCCCCACCTTTGCCCTCATCGTTCTGTTCTCCACAAAACAGTCTGTGATACTCATTCTTCTGCTTAAAACCCTCTAGTGGCTTCCCACTTCAAAGCAAAAACCGAAGTCTTTAGGGTTGGCCTACAAGGTTCTAATTTCCTACTCCTATCCCTCTTGTTTTCTTCTTTAGCCATAAACACATCAAGCATGCTCTGCTTCAGAGCCTTTTCACTTGCTGTTCCTGGAACATTCTTGCCCTTGATATCCACATGGCTTGCTTCCCTATTTCCTTCTGAGACCTACTCTGGGCAACCTTTCTAAAATTGCAAACCAGTTCCAACCCCCCCCCCATTCCATCCCCCTCCTGACTATAATGCAAGTTCTGTGAAAAAGGGGTTTTGGTTTGTTTTGTTCACTACTGTATCCCAAGTCCAAAGTAGAACCTAGCACCTGATAGGTGCTCAGTAACTATTTGTTGAATAAATAAATGAATCCCCAAAGAGTCAGGAAATAGCACACCACCATGATCTCAAAATTCTCTCCAGAGAGTATTTCTAGTATTTATATTTGACGATATTACTAGGACTTACTTATTTAGTCTGGTTCCAAGACTGGTTCCAAATTTTGTATACATACATGATTTACCACCAAGGGAAGTATGTATTAACTTGAAAAACTAGCAGTCAATGACTACATTAAAACAAAGTAACAACAACCCACACCAACCTTTAATGAGGAATAGTGGAAAGAGCACTGAATTGGGGATCAGAAAACCCAACTTTTGGAGAAGATACTGCCACTAATTAGATTACAGTTTAACCTCTGTGGGCCTTAGTTTCTTTATCTGCAAAAGTGCTGCGTGATTCTGATAATTATTTTATTTCTGTTCTGAAAAAGAGTTGTCCTGGATAAAAGTATCCTCCTTTGGTCTTTCATGGTAAAGTTATGTGAGAACGTATTTAAGGGGATAGGAAAAACATTCCAAATTCGGAGAGGATCAAGAGAAACAAAACTTACTTTGTGGACAAAATTGCAAATGCAAACTTGAAAATTCCCCATGGAAGTGGTATTTTATTTCAGATAATTAGAGCATGCAGGTAGGAGAAAAGAATATAAGGAGCACTGAACTGTAATCATGAGCTTGGGTTTCACCAGTAAATTCACCATGGAACCATTTGAAAGTGCCTTAATTAATCTGAGTCTCAGAGACCCCGCCTGTATAATAAGGTCCTTGGTGAAGACCAGTGTCACCCAAATGCTGGTTGAGGAGTGTAAGGATCAGAGTCCTACGATTCACCATCAAAGAGTCTGATTCAGTGGTCGAGGTGGGGCTGAGGATATTTTATGTTTTAAATAAACAACTCATCTAGTATTGATGCAAGTAATTCATAAACAGTAGTGGTTACTAGTCTGGATGATCCCTATAGCCCATTCAGACAAACATTTTATGACTTTGGGCAGTACTGTGCCTGAATTTCACGTGGTCAAGAACTCAGTTCTCATGACTTTCTTAAACTCTTCCTCACACAAGGTTTCTTGCTCATACTGCTTCAAATACAATTGCAAAGTAACACTAAATTCATTTTCTTTTGGCATCATCCTGTTTTAATATTTTGTTGACTAGCAAATAAAAAAGACCTAAATAAAGTAAGTTAGAGAACATGTACAATTTCTAAGTGTTAACATGGAACTTAATTAAATCCTTCAAGAGAGTATTTTTATTCCACTTTTAATTTCAAAACACGTATTTTCTACTTTATCATTTAAAAAATACTTTGAGTATAAGTATTTTCCAAGTACATTCACAGTTTTTATGCAATGCAAATTTGTTTTGATTAAAATAATGCTAATAATGTTAAGCTAATAACATTTGTATGAAGCTGTTTTTACTAACCCTTTTTTAGACTGGAGAAAACTAAGGCTCACAAAGGCTATTTCTTGACCAAGAGAGGAAACTAACATTTACTGAATCTCCACTATATTTCCAAATATAGCTGTAAGCACATTAATATGTTGTCTCCTGTTTGACAACTTTTAGTGTTGTATCTGTTTTACAGAGGATGAAAATAAGGCAAGAATGGTTACATAATACCAACAAAATTCCATAGTATTAGGAGGCAAAGCCAAAATTTGTACTAAGATCTTTTTCTTCTAAGTCATATGTGTTTCTCATTATATAAGGATACCTCTAAATATAAATTTCAACATAAGATAATGTTAATGTTATTGGTGCCTTTACTAAACCCACATATTAACACACAAATGCACAAGCAAACAAAATGACCAATCCTCTGTCCCAAAATTAACAACCTGAAGCATCAACCTGGCTGCCAAAAAAAGCAGAATCAATGGCTACTAAAAATTTAAACAGTACAAAATTTCTGGTGTGTTGTTTTGTTTTGAATTTCCACTTCTATATTGCAGGGGCATTTTGTTTCAATTTCCCTTTATCCAAAATGGTGTATCATTTGTTCTCATTCAATTTATAAATTGAGTACAGAGTACTCTGTCAGAATAGATGGAGGTGGACCAAAACAATGCTGTATCATTGCCTTAGGAGCAATAGCAGAACAGTAAGGGGACAAGCTCTCCCATTTTGCTTGTTATGTAACAGAAAAGTCCTCATTAAATACCCCCCACAGCACATCTGTAGAAATCATGCCAGTTTAATTATCCCTCAACTATAGCACATAGGTCAACTCATGACTCCCCCACTTTACTGTGAAACATCTCTCCACATGTTAAGCATGAAAGCATTGTAGGTTTTTAGGCAAGTGATTCATCTCTAGTTCCTTTGGTGCCAGCCCTGAAAATAAAGGGCAATGCCCAACAATGAGGCCCTGGGTGTGTCAGAGATAGATATGGTACTCAAAGGATTAAGGTCCTGATACACCTGTCTAGTTGGCCTTTTGTTGCCAGTAGATTTCTTTGCTGCAGAATATTTATCTGAAAAAATACACATAGTACTATACCTGCAGGGATAATTCTACCTATTATTCCTATTAGCTAAGAACAAGTTTTCTTGACTGCATCTACTTGTCACATGAAAAGCAATCAAATGGGCTTGTTTTTACAGAACAAAAGCTAACCTTTAGTTTATTGAATCTCATTAATTCTAAGAAATGATTTTTTAAACAACATTTTTGAAGATGGAATGCTTCTAATAACCTATGTATCTCAGACTTGATGACATACAATATGTGGTAACTAACATGTGGACATTTCAGTAAGAAAACCATGAGCGAGGGGCGCCTGGGTGGCTCAGTAGGTTAAGCGTCTGCCTTCAGCTCAGGTCATGAACCCGAGGTCCTGGGATCAAGCCCTACATCAGGCTCCCTGCTTGATGGGGAGCCTGCTTTCTCCTTCTCCCTCTGCCACTGCCGCTGCTTGTGCTCCCTCTCAAATAAATAAATAAATAAATAAAATCTTTAAAAAAAAAAGAAAGAAAGAAAAAAGCATGAGCTAGTGAAATAGGCAAGCATTATACAAAGAACTCCCTAAAACATCCTCCCTGCAAAATAAAGCACAAAGAGTCCTAGGATCAGGCTCGGCAGGGGGCCTGACTCTCCGTCTGCCCCTCCCCTGTTCATGCTCTTTCAATAAATAAATAAATAAATAAATAAATAAATAAATAAATAAATAAATAATCTTTAAAAAATGTTATGAAATCAGCTTCTGCATTACTCTCAAGTGCTGTGCTGCTCCCACTGTATGTGTGTGCAAGCATGACAACACATACCTATATTCCCATCTTGGCTTAATCAAAGATGATAAAAATCTTTAAAGTATTTCTTTAAAAATGTGAATGTCTGAGTCCTATTTTCACCTCTTACTGATGGATAAATTTCTTATCAAAAGGATATGGTAGGGGTGCCTGGGTGGCTCAAGCATCTGCCTTCGGCTCAGGTCATGATCCCAGGGTCCTGGGATGGAGCCCCATGTCAGGCTCCCTGCTCAACGGGGAGTCTGTTTCTTCGTCTCCCACTCCCCCTGCTTGTGTTCCCCCTCTCTGTCAAATAAATAAATAAAACCTTTAAAAAAAAAAGGATATGGTAAAAAAAAAAATTAAAATTCTGAGTGGATGCATAGGAAAAAATTAAAACTTTTAAAAAAATCAGGAACCTCAGGTAAAAGAACTGGGAGGAGGAGAGAGAACAATCCTTGGGGAAAAGTAAGTTTAATCACTTTGTGGCGATGCAAACAAAAAAAATTATTTGTAATTTTAGTCGTTCATAACATTACAATAAGAATAATATACAACTTTAATTCCTCTAACCCACAGATGCTCAGTCTCACACTGGTGACATTTTGGGCCTGAGGACAGTTTGCTACAGGAGGCTGTCCTTTACATTGCCCTTACCTACTAGACGCCAGCAGTGTCCTGCCCTCCACCCCAGTTGTAGAAACCAAAAATGTTTCAACAGAGGGGAAAATCTGCCCCCTGTTGAGAACCACTGCTCTAACCTTTCAGTTACCAACTGAAAAAAAAGGTTACCCTAGTTTCTCTGAAATCACCTGAAGGGCAGAAAACAATTCTAAAAATTCATTTAAAAGCAACATTGATTCAAGTGAGTTTTCTAGCAATAGAAGAAAAAGATTAGGACACTTATTTAGTTTTTGCCCAGGAATTTAATATATAAGGATTTACATAATGGACATCTTAAATATCTGAAATATCAAATAAAGTCAAGTAAAGTATCTTCTTTTTCCTTTATGCATTTTTATTCCCTTATGCATTCATAAAATACCACCAATCAAGTAGTCGGAGGTAAGGAAATATATTCATTTTACATTAATGCCATGGTTAATATCAGAGATAGCTTCACTTTACATAATTTATTATTTAGTATTCACAAAGAACAATTAAGCAAGTGTTAAATCTAGGTCAACTATTTTGCTAAATACTTGATTTATATGCATTATCTCATTGGAAAAAGAAATAAATCAATTTACTATCACTATCAGGAGTTATAAAATTCCTAACAGAGGTTTGGTTGTAGCCAATCTTCCTGGTAAACTTTCAAAGAATTTAAATGCCAGTAAAATACAGTAATCAGAATTTGAACATAAGAAGCCATACATAAGCATGGCACAGATGAAAAGAAGCTGTATCAACTCTTGAAGACTACTAGGGTAACAGTGATGGGTAAGTCACCACCAGTGACTAATTAGCAGAGTTCCCACATTACTCCGAAATGCTTAACTTCCAAGCACTCTATTTTATTTATTTTTTAAAAGATTTATTTGGGAGAGTGCGTGCGTGTGCACACCAGTGAGGGGAGGGGGCAGAGGGAGGGGGAGACAGAGAATCCTTAAGCAGACTCCCCACTGAGCATGGAGCCCAACAAGGGGCTCAATCCCAGGCCCCTGAGATCATGACCTGAGCTGAAACCAAGGATCAGCTGCTAAACCAACTGAGCCACCTAGGCAACCCCTAAGCAAAAAATTTTAGAGAGCAAGTACATTCAGCAACCCCAGAAACCCAAACATCAAGGAGAAAAGGAAGAAAGGTCTTACTATCTAAAAGGCAATAAAAAATGCAAATGCACACTAATACAAAATATGCATTGGATTCTCTCGATGGATACACTTAAAAGTTAAAATGAGCTTCCTTATTTTCAAAGGCATTTTTTATTGACATATACACCACATAACATAAAAGTCACCATTTAAAATGTACACTTAAATGGTTCCCAGCATACCTATCTTGCTATGCAACCATCATCACTAACGACTCCAGAACATTTCCAACACCCCAAAAAGAGATCCCGTACCTATTAGCAGTTAGTCCCAATATCCCCTCACCAATCACATTGCAATCACTAAACTACATTCTGTCTCTATGGATTTGCCTGTTCTGGATAGTTCATGTAAATATAATCATGCAATATGTGGCCTTTTGTGTCTGGCTTCTTTCACTTAACATAATGCTTTCAAGGTTCATCCATGGTGTAGCATGTAACAGTTTCTTCTCATGGCTGAATAATCCCTTATTTTTTGCAGCAATTAAGTGAAGCATTTCAAGTACTGTTAGACATGTCACCTGAAACATTTTCAGCCATTCCTGGAGGCCTGTAGGTGGTTGGACAGATGTAATTCGGCGTCGTTGTTGCCCTTGGCCATTGGCTGCTCTCAGGTCTCCAAAAGTTGTTGGTGTTGCTGAACATGGTACAAGCCCAGTGGTGCTACAAAAAACAACAAAAAACAAACAAAAAAACCCACAAGAGTGGAAACAAAGATAGGCATTTATTAAGAATAATGGGCTTTAATTTAATAAGAATATGATCTGGCACATTTCAAACATCAATAGAATTATTACTTTTGTTTGCTTATTCCCAGACAGCAAGGATACACAAAATCTAGTCTGCTATTCTTAGAGTAGGTTTCCCGCCTCCTACATAGCCACCTGTTATTATCCCAGCAATGCTAATTGCAACCAAATGACAGAATCTCTATGGCAAAACTGCAACTTGTTGATACATATAAGTGATGTTAAAATCCTTAGAAGATACAGGTCCTACCTCTCTTATGACCACTCTTCGGTTACTTAATTAAATAAAAGTTCCAATTTCCTTAATTAAAAGAGTTGTAAAACTTACTAATGCTTTAAAAAATTCATATGTAGAAGCAGTATGCTCAAATATTTTGGACATTTCACTAGATACTTCTAAATTATTTGTAATATTTACTTCTTTTCAACTTTCCACTGTTCTTTATAAAGCTTAGCGTAGATGACATTTGACAGGAACAAGCCTTGAATAGACATATATTTACTCAAAAACAGTTAAATATCGAAAACTTACTACATTATATATGAAATTAAATAAAATGAGATGATCTAAATACTTTTATACAATAATTAAAACTCTGAGACATTAAAGAAAACAAACAAACCTGAAATTCAATTCTGCCACTAGTAAAATGAAAGAGTTAAGACTAGATGATCTATCTCTAGAACTGTCCAACTTTCCTAAAAATGATTAATAGCAGAAAAAGTATAGTTATAACCAAGTTATTAATATATTAAGCTTTACTTTCAAATTCAATAATAATTAAACTGTTTATTCTTGAGGTAAATACTGAATATCTCTATTTTAGAGACATTTGGAAAAAAAATGCAGGAAGACTCATAATTACATTTGTAAAATAATCTTCAGTTTATTGAGCTATAATAAAGTGTTTTAAATCCAAAGAACACAAAAATTGTATCCTAACAGCTCAATATCTGCTTTGATAAATTACTAATGAAAACAACTCCCCAATTCTTTACTATCCAACGTATCTCATTATTTTGTTAAAAAATATATCTTAGTCACCATATTTTACAGAAAAATCTACATATCTACCACCTTTAAATCTTTTAACATTATACATCTATGATAATCTCTAACAAAACAATTAAATCTATCTTACTGTCTATCAAATTTCAAAAGCTCATTTTCTTCTCCAAAATGAAAGAGAATGTGATCATAACTTAAATTTTCTAATAAAGATGTTAAGATGGAAAATCAGTTTCATTGTTATTATTAGAAAATCTGTCAAAAAAATTAAAAAACACCAAATATATACTGACAAAGTCTCCAAAAAGACATGGAAGTCAATATGCTGTTTGGTTTGCTTTGGTAAGATTATGTTAAAAGGCTGAAAACAGAACATGCACCTTTTCGGGTGTTTTCTCAATATAAAAAGTGAGCAACTAAAGGTAAAATTCGATTAAAATGTGTCCTGTAGTAAAAATTTAGCATTTGTTTATAAGCAGCCTTAAAAACAACTGAACCCTTTAATACCTTTGTCCTGGTATCAGCCATATTATTAGAAGACCAAAATGATATGGCTGACTGGAATCTACACATTAAAAATAGTACATTTTTAACATTAAACTCAACTTTCTCTCTAAGAAATACTTTATCAAGACTAGAAGAAAAAAGCAAAAATGAAGTGAAGAGTTTCACTTGTCTCTCTATCACTCCACACCCTCTGGTGGAGGTGCCCAAACAGTGAAATTGTCAAAAGGCAAAGGGGAAGAGAGAAGGGGACAGGGCAATCAACATGGGGAGATCACACAGAAAGCATTTCTTGAATAAATAGGAGAGAGTTTTATTTTTCTCTTCTGTATCATCTCTGCATTTTTTGCATATAAAACTAACTATTATGATTTCAAATTTCATGGAAGAGCATTTGAAAAAAATTTTTTTTTATAACTGAATGAAATAAAAATATAAACTCTTTGGGAAAAAAAAGAGATGCAATCTCTAACAGTGCTCAATCACAGAAACAAGTCTGAGGAATGTTAATTTTATTGCACCTTACATAATAAGCATAACTTTAAATCAAAATATTTAGGGAAAAAAAGAAATATCACCATCATGAAGTTCTTATGGCTTCTAGAGCTAACTTTTAATCAGTAATTTGAAGTAGTGACAATTATGCAAAGAAGACCAAAAAAAGCTCTGAAGATACTTTTGTCATTTAAATTTTAAAATTCCAAATGACATCCAAAACCACTTTTAACTGGCTGGGTAATAGATATTGTGCTTAAGTTAGCCTAATTAGCGTGAGAGTGGGAAAAGTTTTATACTGATGCAAAATCCAAAAATGATGGAATGGTGCACAAAACAAGACTACAATTGTATTTAGTTGTTATGGAAACTATTTTACTCGTGTGGAAATGTATGTGTTAAAAACATAAGCTCTACCAAGCAAATAAAAGGGGATTTCTAACACAGTAAGATTTATTTAGCAACTGTGAGGTTTAATTCACTGCTAATAAATATATCTTCAATTTTGCATATATAAATATCTACCCTAGAATAGCTGTTGCTATAGTAACAAGATATATTTGCTCATATTCATATTTTAGAATTTACTTTTTAGAATTCCTTAAAATTTATGATTTAAAAATTTTATTCGTAAGAAAAATTCTGCTGTGTCTTATTTCAAAGTATTAGTAAGAAAACACAGGCTATAGTGGTAGTCATTCTTCTTATTTAAAATTATGTATTTCTCAATTTTTAGTGATCTCAAAATGTGTTACAGAGTCAACAGTACTAGTGACATTATATCCTATGAGAATAAACTGGAAGAAATGCTTTTGGAATCATCACCTCTTTAAAGAAACATAAAAATCATGAGTGAATCAATTATTATACTTAATATTACCTTGTATATTCTGAGACTTTGCATGGTTTCTTTCCCAAAGAAAAAGAGCGGACCTCAGAACCATGGTCTAATTTTCTTTTCATCTATAAGGTAAAGCAAATAAGATAGATTTAAGAAAAAAATCACTTGTCCCAACTAGCAAATCTTAACGTTAGCACTGGCAATAGTGAAAAAAATTCTTAAATTTTCATATGCCTAAATTTTCATTAATTAGGCATAGTTAATGTATGTAGAAAATAAATGCTTCATGGTTTCTTTTACTAGTTCTACTTTGTTTTACTCTTTAAAGACTAGAAAGGTGAATTCCCCCCTCCAATATTTTGTCCAGAAGAATAGCATATGGTGATTTAAAAAATTGATATTCATCATACATATTCCTTGAAAGTGATATACCTTTCACATTTTCCAGTTTAAGAATCAATATAGGGGAAAATTCCATGTTAATACACATATTACAGAACCATATTTAACATGTCTCTCTTAGTGATCATCATTTTCCTTTAAAAACATATTTCAAGATAAAACAGACAAAACTCAAAATTTTGAAACCTGAATGGAAGTAACAGTAACTGAATTTAAAACACACAGATTATTACAAAAGTATAAAAAGAACAGTGTAAATAAAATGATCTTGGAAAGTAATTATAATAAGGCAAAAGCAATGAATATGGGCAATGAGGGGAGTAAAAAAGTAAATCTATAACAGGAGAGAAGTCTGGAGATGGTATAATAAAGGTGGAAAAAAAGCCATCAGTTGATATTTACACAGAATATAACTTCACTGACAGATGCTCACTCAGGACAAAATATTCTAACTTGAAAAGCAACATCAACAAAAAGATTTTAAAAGAATGAGTTAAATATCTTTGTAAGGTATATCCGATATCTACAGTTTTCAAGTATTTCCTTATGCTATGTATGTGTAATACTGTAAATACATTCAGAATTGCATTTTGTCAACATCAAAATTGAAATTTTTATTTTTTGTATTTCACCATCTGTTAGTAACTGAGGTCATTGAACTATAGATCTGTCATAAAACTAGAAAATAAGATCTGTTAAGATTCAACTTTTTCTATTTCAACAACCCCCTCAAGATCTGTGTCTTCTAATTAATTACTGTACTACTGAAAATTATGGGGGAGGGGGAGACCCAGAGTGATAGAGAGCTATACTCATTTTTTTATAATAAGGTGAAAACCCTTGCTTTGCAGCAGACTTCTTTCCTTACCTACTGCCTCACATGAGAACATCATAACACAGCATGCTACATTATAAATACTAAGAAGAACCAACAAGACTCTATAAAAATTTTTGAACCACACTATGGATAATAAAGACTATGTTTTTATCATCATGAAAAAGTCTTCCAAAATACAGGGATGATCTTATGATATCAGGGACTAGAGTGAGGGTACAACAAGCTCATCCAGGATTTGTACCTTAGTTCAAGAAATACCTACTGGAAAGAAATGGAATTGGTCTTATTTCAACCCTTCAGAAGTTTCTGTACTCATTATATTGTTTTAAAGTGATTCCTCTCAAAAACCATTATTTTCTTTCTCCAAATAATTTTAATAAAAAGCAAAAATAAACATACAAGCCTTAACATATAGACAGCCACGTGCTTCCATGTATATAAATTATAGACACGTACACATACACGCAAATGTATCTATCAGGAAGGTCAGTCAGTACAGATTACCTTAAAAATCTACTTTTTTTCCATAACTTCCACAGATTCTTATTTTCAAAATTAACATGAGAAACTTTGATATTCATTCTAATTAAGTTGTAATACTGGCTTTCAGAACTTCCCTGGGTATCTTGTAAATACACATTGGTGCAAATGCCATTTGCCACCAAAAGCAAACTTTATTTCCATCTTAGAAATCCTTCAATGAATAAAAATGCCCAAAAGACATATCGAGGGAACCATTTGGAAAGGATTTTTTTATCTTCAGAATATTTTACCAAATAAAGCACTTTCTGTAGGACCCACAGAAGTCTTTTAAATATTATATCATTTACTGAAAATCCTGACTTTAGAACCAAAAATTAATTCTGCAATTTTTTAAGGGGCACAGAAAGTAAATACGATCTTTTAAGACATAAGTCCTAAATATTGTAGTGATTCTAGACTTTAAAAGAGTCAACTAAAGAAAAAAGAAAAGAAATATACATAAGGTATAGAAAAATTAAAGGCAAAAGATTCACTAAAAGCCAACTAAGGGTAGAGTATTTCCAGGTCAGCATTTAACGGAGCCACATTTCCAAAGTCTAAATATATTTTTAGTGAAAATTCCCAGATTAAAATATACATTTTATTTTAAATTTAAAGCTGTTTACAGCTTACGTGGTCTTTGCATTATTTGCTTACATTCACGTTATAAAACAGAATACCAGCCATCCAGCCACCCACCAAAATTAGAGGATACTGCAGCCATCTCTGATGATACAGATTTTCCTTCTCAGGCAGGCACACACACACACACAATCATACAACACAGGAAGAAAACAGATTACTTACTTTGTAAAAAATCATTTTTAGGGTGCCGTAGAAACCCATATTTTCTGTATTTTTCCCCTTCAGTGATTCTGTGCCCCCGTGTGTCCGGCTGCTTGGCAGTCTCTGACAATATAAACCTTTTTCAGGTAGGTATGTCACAGATTCTAATGTGGACATGCTCAGGCACGTCAGAAAGGGAAGATTAGGGAGCAGAACCGGCAACAAAACTCCACAGTAAAGGCAAATGCAGCTCAGTATCAAACCGCTTCTCGGGACACACATACATACATGCAGCTTGACTGAGGAGAACTCGAGGGAATAATGAGAGAGAACCGAGAAGATTATTGGAGGAGACTATGCCCTGTCAAAGCCTTGACTGAACAGATTCCTCCCTCAGCAGCAGAGGGATCAGATTACATCTTCCCTTGAACACAGAATGGTGCAGTCCAGGATTCAGCAATGCAGACTGCACATCAATTATATGGTGATCCGCTCCAGGGAACCCGTAAGCACACAACGCACGGAACAGAGGGAGGATGTGGGCAGCAAATGAGACCGCCCCCACACGACAGCCCCCTTCCCCTTTCAAACTTTCAGGAGATTATTTTGTATTTTGTAAAGCCTGCATTTCTGAAGAGTTTTAAATGGCAAGCATCCTTTCCACAAATAAGTGTTTTCAGAAACATTTTGAAAATGGAATATATTTTCCATACAGTCCTCCCAACAGAAGCAAAGCAGGCTATTTCCACTAACTGTTATCCTATTGCAGTACTGGCACAGACTGATCACATTTTTCAAGTAGCTTAGATGACACAAAATGAGCAATCCCAAAGGGAGAAATTAAATATTCTTTGGGGGGATTTACAATAAAGTAAACCAGTTTGGAGCATATAACATTTGCAGAAATTAGGTAATAAGTCATATTTCAACCTGCATATTTCTTATATTAACATTTAATGAAAATATTCCCTATGTTTTTCCATTTCACTCATTTAAAACATATCAAGAAAATTACCACACACTTCATCAATTCTTAGTAATCATGACGATTTATTTTTAAGACTATCAGATTGGTATTAAGTGTATAAAGTTTGGCCAAAAGGTCCTATTTCTCCAAAGAAAGCAAAAACTGGGCTCATTGGAGAGTCTTAACCTTATTTGTGAATTTAATCTTGAGTAAACAGGAAGTATTGGACTTCTACCTCCAAAATTATTTTGACAGTGTGTATTGTTTATCTTTAAAAGGGTAGTTTACACAATAATAAAAAAATACCAAAGTGTGCCTGAAGGCAACCTTTTGCTCAGAACAACTACTTCACAAATCTAGATATTTTATCTCCCAACTTGCTACACAACTAGCTTCAGAGGCAATTATAAGATTCCTTGGACTAGAAAGGCCCATTATTAAGGGTCTAGTTAATTAAATCCTACCCTCCCCATTAACATTCTTTATTACAAGTAAACTGTGTGGCTATAGTTATTTATGTACTTAAAAAGTTTCCTCAGAAAAAAAGAAATACTATGTGGACTTACTACATTTTAATACTCTCCGCTATGGTTAATGAATGACTTTCATTAGGCAAATGATTCTAAATGCTGCATGAAGTAACCATAATTTTAAAAATAAATATGTTTACCTTTATAACTAACACATTAAGTCACTGTAATGTCTTTTACTTTAAAACATAAATGAAATAAGATAATCTAAAATTTTATAAAGACATACATCTTGGGTCTTCTGGAAATTACCCTCAGAAACAGTATGTACATGTACCCAGCAACTCGTTAGTTTTCTAAATAAACAATTAGCTTACTTCAAAGGAAAGTTCTTTTTAAAAAGAAATCTCTTAGCAAAAAAAAAAACAAAACAAAACAAAAACAAAAAAACCCAACTGTTAGGAATGGACCTATAAACCCTTTTGTTAGAAGATTCAGAGCACTCAAGATTTTTTAAAAAAATACAAAGTAAAAAAAAAAAAAAAGTAATTTCCCCTCCACCACCTGCCTCAATTCTGGGCTATATAAAGAAACTAATTATAAAATGAACACCTGAAATTTTCTCTAAAATTTGTCAGTGCTAACTAGCTTATTAGAGGACAAATGGACTACCCATCAGTCATATAACAGTATACAACTTGACTTCAATTGAAATCATGTCCTCTCTCTAAATGAAGTAACTTTTTCAAATTAAGTCTACTCAACTGAGGACACAGACCAACTTTAATAAACCAGGGCCACTTCCAAAATCTAGGATATTTAAAAGAAGAAAATAATTTTGTATATTCAAAGGAATTCTCTTATGGTTATATAGCTCCTTTGTGTGGTATGAAGTTATGAGAAAACCTGATGCTGACAAATGTGTATTTATATGCAGGTATGTATAGTCATGTTTTATTTTTGAATAGGCAAAATATTTACATGATTCAAAACTCAAAGTGATAATCAAAAAGTATATATTGAAAAGACCTTCCACCACCTGACATCCCCATCTTCCATGGGTCCCATTTCATAATTATTTTTATTAGTTTGTCCTTTAAGTGAGAATGTATATAAGTACTCATGAAGACTTTATTT